AATGATATATGGTAATAATGGGATTTATCTTACAACAGTAGGACTGATTTACTGTTCTTGAATTTGCATCAGACTGAATTTAACATCACAACATTTGTTTCTTAAGAGGTTAATGTGCCAACTTACTACACCACTTTATCTGTACTTAACAAATATCACCTTGATTTTATCTGGGTCCCTGACAGTGCTACTTTCCAAGATGTCCTGGCAAGCTTCCCCTTCAAAGTTGTTTGTTATGATGTCAGTTGAAAATTCCAAAGTGGCTTTGTTGCCTATTTGCTATTTGGGCATCCTATGGACATCTTTGACAATAGAAAAATTCTCTCAGGAAACGAAGGTAATAACCTCAATCCTGTAGGAAATAGGAGAATTCTAAAGATCAAGCATTGATGAATCAAGAACTATTTGAGGAGTCATCACTGATGGAAATAGAAAAAAGTTCCTTTTGAACAAAGATAAAGCATACTGTTCATTCCATTGGATAAAAGCATGCTATAAAAAACAGGGGAGTTTTATAGCTTGGTAGAACAATACCTTGAAATTAACACATTTTAAATGCTTTTTTTAAAAGTAAATATTATTGTTTTCTACCAACAGTAATGTTTCTAGGAAATTTATTTGCAAAACAACTGACAGTGCCTCCTTTCCGTGAATTCATAAGCCTCATTGCTCTCTTCCTTCTGGTCAGTGAATACAGATTGAAATGGAAAATTCATAGCAGTCTGTTCTGTATTTTGACCACTTTTTCACATTTTTATTTGAGTGGCAAATATATCTATTTCAAAGATACTGTCAGTAGAAGCTGCCCACAAAGTAAGTACAAGGATTAGTTCTGTGTCTAAGAGTGCCCTTAACCCAAGTCTAAAGAGGAATTTGTCAAGGCTTTCCATTTTCCAAGTCAACAGTGCAAATTGGCTTAAGACAGTTTTAAATTAAAAAAAACAAAACAAAACAAAACAAAAAACTTGATCATGTATTACAAGGATCAGCAAACTTTTGTGTAAAAGGCTGGGTAGTAAATATGGAAATACGGCTTTGTGGACAATACGGCTCAATCCCCACCACACAGCTCCACTGTAGCAACCCTGAGGCAGCCATAGACCACCGGTAAATAAATGAGCATGGACTTGTTCCAAAATATGCTTGTTTATGTGCAGCACTGAAATTTGAATTTCATATAATTCCCAAGTTTTGTGAAATATTCTTCTTCTTTTGATTTTTCAACCATCTAAAAATACTCAAAAAAAACATTCTTAGTGTGTGTGGGCTGTATGAAAACAGTCAGCAGGTTTGGTTTGTGGGCCTTGGCTTGCCAACTTTTCGTTCTAAAGCAGCGCATTAAAATTTCTTGCTGTAGCCTCTGTGACAACTATAAAAGTAAGAGTCAGTTTGAGCCCTTTGTACAATGAAAGAGCAGTGTGCCTATGCACAAAATTAACTTTTAAAGTAGAAATAAAACTAAGTTTAGAATACTATACTCAAAGTAACGAGGGCCTGAAGTAGTTACCTCAACTAGCCTCCTACCTCCAGACAAACACAGTTTTCTGGGGATTGCAGTGACTTCCTCTAAAGACCATTCATTGTCTTAGTAGCTCCTCTGGGAGAGAAGATAGTAATTCTTAGGTTCCAGAAGAAGGAAAATCTCTGTGGTATAATGTAAACAGCTCTTCTCTTGGTCTTGGTCTTGCTTCAAAAAATAAGATACACCTTTTGACTTTCAGCAGAGCTCTCATTTGGAGTCCAAACTAATAGTATTTCTTTTAGTTGGGGATTTTGTAAAATAATCATATCACTTGGTTTTCTTCTCATACAATTTTTGTCATTTATAACCTATATTGTTTATTCAGCAACCTCTGCTGATGGTGCCACACTGGAATGCGGGAAACACAAACAAACATGCCTAACACAAAGTTGGGCACTTAGCAAATGCTCAACAAGTGTCTCTTAATTTCTATCCTGACAACAGTACATCGAAGTATTCAACAATGTGGCTTCACATGCTTTAATGAATTTCTAATGTGATGACTATGATGAAAACATTATTTATTTTTTAACATATTTCAAGTATTTGTATGTGTATGATTCAGTTAGAGAAAAGAGATAACATAAAATAGTCTGGTGAATAGTAACTTTTCCATTCCCATTATTGTTCAATAAGAACAATTTTTTAAAATTTAATTTATGTTTTTTCCCCTCTTCACCACTTTCCCCTACCCCACCACCCCCACCTCCAACCCTCAATCCTTCCCCACTTTGGCTTTGTCCATGGGTCCTTTATATATTAATGAGAATGATTTTTAAAAGGTATTTTGACATTGATTTTTTTTAAAGACAGGTTTCTCTCTCTCATCCCAATCTCACAGCCTGGATAACATAATCATAAACAGTTTATTCTAGTCCTTGATAACATTATACTGGATTGTAATCGAGTGACATAGAGGTGACAAAATATGACAAAAGTGGACTTTCCATATCTGGAGAGAAGTCTGTTTCAGAGTCTTTCTGTCAGTGTTTTAGCACTTCTGTGTCTGCTCTTTCCTTTTATTCTACAAATAGGACAGAGTTCAGAGGAGGTCATAGTCTTATTTTCTTCTGAAGCATTTTGTCCAGTCTAAATATATTTCTGGATTATAGTGGGTCAAGAATTCCATATGATTTCTAGATTTGATAAACTAAGGTTCAAGACAGGAAAGAAACCAATAATATCTGAAAATAAAGCTTTGGTCAGGCAAAGTATTTTTTTAACACAAAAAATACAATTTTCTGCTTTGCAGTTTTTTTTTTTAGCTATAGTGTTATCATGATGTTCAAGTATGAGAGAGAAGCTGAGAGTAAAAGTTAATGAAGCCTTATTAGAAGATATTAGAAATGAAAAGAAATATGTCTTTTTTTTACTATACTGTAAATGCAAATGTTATGAAATATGAGAGTTGGAAGAAATTGAAAAATTTATCCTGCCATCTTTTAGGGACTAAATATGGGTAAATTAAGAAAACCAATTAAGATATAAAAACAACAGTTTTGATGGTTTCAAGGCAAGAGATACCAGATCAAAAGTTCCAGGAAGAGACAGAAAGATCTCTTAGCTTCCAGCAAAGAATAGCATATGAAGTTTATCAGCCTTAGCAGAAACTAATAGGAGGTGAAAGTATAAAAAATGAAATGATCAGAGAAAGTGAATATAGACCGTCAGAACAGGAAAATTGGTAAAGCTTTCCTATAGTTAATGGAAAGCCACTAAAAGAAAGAGACACAGAACAAAAGGTTTATTAAGGATAAATTTTTGGTGGATGTCCAAGAACTGAATAAAATAGAAATTCCCAAATGTTGCCACCTTGGAGTTATGCTTTTCCTTCTTCATCCAAACTACATCAATTTTTTTTAGGAATAAAAAAGAAAAAATGGATCAAAATATATTCCAAATTATTTCCAATAACAAGATATGAAACTGTATAATCCAGACCACCACCTTTATTTATAGGCTATGGTTGATTGTGCAAACGAAATCAACCCAAATTGAAAAACCTATGCTTGAAATGATGTGGTGCTGGTATATTCCCTGTGGTAGATTGAAGACAGCCATGGATTCTTGGATACTGCTTCCATTGAATCTGCCTTTGGATCTGGGCCACCTCTATGACTGCGTCACCAAAAGAATACAGAAGAAGTGATATTATGACAGTTTCGAGTCCAGTCCTTAAACAACAGGTAGCTTTCTGTTTCTGAGAATACTTTATCGTAGAGTCCAGAGCTACCAAGTGAGAAGTCCAATTACCTTGCTTAAAAAAAAAAAAGAAATACTCAGAGATGCCTCGAGACTCCATATCTCTGGGTAGTCATATCTTGGGAGAGGCCCATTCCTCTAGCTATCCCCACTCTTGTGCTAAGCATGGGAATGAAGCCATTAGTACCCATCAGATCAGCCTGGCTGTCAGCTAAATGTCAGCTGAGCCCTGTGCTAGTTCCTGAGCCACAGAATGACAAGATAAAATGAAATCGCTGCAGTTGGAAGTCATTAACTTTTGGGATTGTTTCTTACTCAGCAGTAGAAAACTGGAGCAGAATTGGTTCCTGAAAATGGAGTGCCAATGTAACAAAAATCTAAAACATGTGGACCAGAGAAAAGAGGTTCGCCTTTATGAGTGGTCAAACATTTGTCAACACTATTGCCTGTGACAATATGGGAAATAGAGAGAAGATCTAATGAACTCATGGATTTCACTGGATAGGCTTTCAAGACAGAATGTAGAAATTGCTGACTGACTTTTTCTAGCTGTGTATGATAAAATATTAGGAGAGAATTGAAAGACCTGTTAGGTGACTGAGCAGAATTTAGAGGAAATCTAAAGGAATTAGGTTTAAGAGTTTAAAATAGGGATGCTTGTTACTTCTGAGCTCTACCAAAACATAGATTTTTAAAGTAAGAAAAGGCTTTAGGACAAACACCAAATCCTTGTGGGCTACCACAATAGGATGGCTTAATGCTAGATGTTTCTATGACATGACTCTATGATCTGATATTTTAGACCTCAGAAAGATTTAAAGATATGCCCTAATAGGGCCTGTTATATTCTTAAGAGTATTCCTTGTATTTAAACAATAGGGTTTCTAAGAATATTAGTGTTGTCCCACAGTAGCCTCATTGGGGCCCAAAGTAAAGAAGAACTTATCTATAAGAGATTAGCATTGAGTGGATTTTTTTTGATGCAGTGAATTATGATTTGGTCCACAGAAGTTCTGTCAAGTTTCTAACTAATTGACTAGCATGGACTAAAACGTACAACATTACACAATATTTTTTATTGAGTTTTTATTTCATAATTGTAAACTCAGCTCCTCAATCCAGCTGGACTTGGAAGAGAGAAGGAAAATATGAAAGCCAATGAACTGCAGCAAGAGCACAAAGGTTAGAGAACATTCCAAGCAGTCAGAGGTGAAAGGGTGCTCTCCTGAGCTACAGAAAGAATGGTCCAGTGGTTAACATAAAACACAAGTCAACTTTATGAGAGTTGTCCACAGTCATTAATGGTGATCTTCTTGCTGGTCTTGCAATTCCTGGACCCATAGCCCTCCATGGCTGTCATAACATCCATACCATCTTTCACCTGGCCGAACACCACATGCTTGTCATCCAGCCACTCAGTCTTGGCAGTGCCGATGGGAAACTGGGAACCATTTGTGTTGGGTCCAGCATTTGCCATGGACTAGATGCCAAGACCTGTGCTTCAGGATGAAATTCTCATAACTGAATTTCTCTCCATAGATGGACTTGCTGCCTGTGCCATTGTGGTGTGTGAAGTCACCACCCTGGCACATAAATCCTGGAATAATTCTGTGAAAGCAGGAAACTTTATAACCAAATTCTTTCTCCCCAGTACTCAGAGCATGAAGGTTTTCTGCTGTCTTTGGAACTTTGTCTGCAAACGGCTTGAAGGAGGCGCGGCCCAAGGGCTCGCTGTCAGCAGCCATGTCGAAGAACACAGTGGGGCTGACCGTGCAATGTTGCAAAGAAGCTCCAGAAGCCACACGGAGAAACTCATTTTGAAAAGAATCAAGACCTCCAGCCTAGCTCTTAGATGACAGCCAACACCAACTTTCCAGGCAAGCAGGTGAACCATTTGGAAATGGATACATCCCTCAATCAAACAGCTCACCTGATGCCATGTGGAGCAGAGTCACCCATCCCACTGAACTCTGCCCAAATTGCAGACTCAAAAACAAAACAATGTATTGGCATCATATTAAGTTATTTAATTTGCAATATAACAGTAAGTAATGTACACAGTTTTATGACATAGAGGACAGAATGATTCTACTGTCTTGTTTTATAAGCAGACAGAACAAGAAAGATCAAAAAAGGGGTCAGATCTTTCTATAGATAGTACAAAAATGCAATTCAGGAAGGGAGACAAGTAGGCATTGATATTCATGCAGATTGCGTAGTAGTTACCCATGGATTTAAAATATAATAGGGATAAAATGATTCAGAATCTTAATATTAATTATAGATAAAAGGCATTACTATGGCAAAATTGAACTACTACATGAAGTTGTTCTCATATATCTCTGAAGATCTGAGTACCTATAGACAATAGATTCTCTCAATATTGGATGCAGCTGAGTAGAGAAATCTTTGACTTGAGAATACATAGTTCTTACCAAAATGAAGGAAAAAAATGAATTTCCAAAAGAAAAGGTATTATAAGCAATTTTGGTGTCAAAAAGCCTTTGGTTGTAGGTGGAGGAGATCACTCTTGTCTTGAAGAATACCATTTCCTTAGACAGACGATAAGAAATGGCCTAGGAGTAGAGATTATATAAAAGCTGTTGGTAAACAAGCTGGAGGCTTTTGAAATTCATGAAAAATGACAGTGGATTGGGTCTGTACCTCAGGACAATTTAAAATTGTACCTGGGAGTTTAAAGAATAGACTTATTTTATATACAGTATAGCTTCAGCCGTTGTTTTTTATGAGTATGTCATTGGGAGGATTCAGAAAATATAAGAAAACAAAACAAACTACATATTTAGGTATATTAACTTAAAGATGTGAAATCTTGGAAACAAAAATCATCATGTTGATAATTATAACAGAATTTCATGGAAGCATGCCTTGTTCTTGATGTCCACAGTCTTCTGGGGACAGAAATGCCTTGTACTCTCCCCTGAAATATAGTTCATCCTTTTGGGCAGTTGTCTTTTGTTTTATTGCATAACCTAAAGCATATTTGAAAGTAGTGAGGAACATACTTTAGATTAAAAAAAATCATGTAAATGCAGTCAAGTGTCATGTGAAAAGTAAATTTAAACACAAATGATAAGCTGTGGCAATAGTCACTTAGAACTCATTGAGCTCTTTTAGGAATGACATCTAAACTAGAAAAATCTAGATGCTCATGTTTTTATGAATTTTAAAAATGTCATCAAAAACACATTAGAGGTAGCATAGTGATGGGGCATAAATAAGTTAGAAGAAAAATGTTCTTTATTGCCTATCCATTGTCATATTTGTAGTCTCTATTCACTCAAGTTGACTGTGCACACCTTCTCAAATATTCCCACGTTGCCTTCCCAGTAGCTGTGTTACACCTGGGGTTCCCTTTTGGTTGCTCTCTATATCCCAAAGTTTTACCCACATGCAAGACAGAGCGAGTATCACTCGGACTCTGAGAGACCCGTTCTGGCCACTTGTCTTTTTGGGATTCTTTTTCTCTTCTAAAAACTTTGAACATTATTGCCTATATTATTTATGTGTCATTATTACTTATGTCTTTGTGCATTTATTTTATAGTTTTTCATATGCATTATGTTCCTAAATGTATACAAACAACAAATATTTCTGAGGTGACTAACTGGCCAATGACTAGAAATGCACTATAATAATTAATTAATCAAAAATATTTATTGAAAATCTACTATATGAAATTGTTTGGAAGAACTTCATTGTTGTCAGATTCTCTTCTATATTAATAAATATATGATTCATTAGTAGTGTAAATTTTCTTCAAAGACTGAGAGATACTGAACATAGTCGTGTCTTCTAAAGAATTTGTTTGAAAGGCATAAATATTATTTTATTGGTGTTTAAATCCCTCCTTTAATGATCGACAGGATAAATGTTTTAAGGTGTTTATCAATATTCTCCATTTCACTCCATAGAGGGAATAGCCTTTCCATTTTTTGACCACAGTGAAGAGAAAACACACCCTCCTCCTTTTCTTGTTTTTCCCCGTGCTCTAGGTTTTCACTAGATTTGGTTGAGAAATGTGCTCCCCTAAGACTCACAACTCCTATGACTATAAGTTTCTCACATTTCTCTAAAAGATCACTGTCCCCTGGGCCCTTTGCATTTGATATGTACATTGTGGATTTTACCAGCTCTAGGAGAAAAAGATTGCTCCAAATTTAGAGTCAAATGAATGGACAGAAGTTCCATTATAGATAATCAAGTCACTACTAGATAGCTTTAAAACAGTCTTCAATATGGGGGTGGGCAGCCAAATCAATATGTTTAAAAGAACAAAGCACCTAAAAACAAATTGTCATTTGAACACTTAGAAAGGCACTTAGAACTTGAATTTAGTACTGGGCATTTTGATTGTAGGCTACCTTTGTGTAAAGAGTTGCTCATGTTGGTGCCTGCCCAAGTTTCCTCACAGGGTTTACTACAAGGATTCAGTGAGAAAACAGTGCAAACATAAAGCTGCAGTCCCAGAATTTAAAAATGTAAAAATTATAAATGTTTAAGTATTAAATGATTAAAGTAGAATTATGGAAATATAAGTTGGAAGGAAAAATGAAAAAAAAATTTGCCTTAACTTTTTAATTATATGTACATTAAGAAGCAGCCCCGGCTGGCGTGGCTTAGTGGTTTGAGCACTGGACTGCGAAGCAAAAGATCGCCAGTTCAATTCCCAGTTAGGGCACATGCCTGGGCTGTGGGCTAGGTCCCCAGTAGGGGGCGCGCAAGAGGCAACCACACGATATTCCTTTCCCTCTTTCTCCCTCCCTGCCCGCCTCTCTCTCTCTCTAAAAAAAAAGAAAAATAAAGAAGAAGGAAAGGAAAGAAGGAAAGAAGGAAGGAAGGAAGGAAGGGAGAAAGACTAATACAGAACAATTTAAAAACAAGTAGTCTGGTTTAACTGTCACATTTATTCTTGGCTGCTCTAAGGACACACTGTCTTCTTTCATATCTTTCAATAAGAGATAGGCAAACCAATGGTATACTTGATACTTTTCTGTGAAAGTTATACCCATTGTGATTTTTTAGCGTCCTACGCCAAGGTTGTTCGTTTCATTTCTGAACCATAAAAGAGGATGCAGTAGCTGTGTTCTTGGCAGAGCTGGGTCATGACTCATCTCCAGTTGCTGTTCTCTGGGAAGTGAGCCTGAAGGCCTTTCATAGAGCAGAATTATCTTAGTAAAAGCCTATTGCCATTTAGTCTTTGGGTTTCTGGAGAACGTGTGTGCCATTCCTCTGCTCCCCTCTCTAGAGTCTGAACTAACATTATTATTTGGGGAATATATTTGCCAATTAGTCCTGAACACAAAAATGCTATTTGCATAAAGAAAATTTTCAATTGCTCTTGAGGGGGAAAATAGTAGTCTAGTGTTGTTTTCTTTTTTGTCTAATATGATGGTACTTAGCAGCCTCTAAGAGGGACACATGGTGGGAAGAGTTGGAATTGCTCAGCTTGAAAAGGAAAGGAACTCAAAAGTCAGATCAGGACAGCTCTGACTACTCATGAATGCATGTTGTATCAGTCATATCTGCCCTGAAAAGAAAAGAGGAGGACAATCATAGTGGGGGCTTCCAGAGAATCGATATCTTTAAGAATCTGTCCATGCTGCTGTGGCTCAGTGGATTGAATGCTGGCCTGCAAACCAAAGGGTCACCAGTTTGATTCCCAGTCAGGGCACATGCATGGGTTGCAGGCCAGGTGCTCAATCAGGAGTGCATGAGATGCAAGCACACATTGATGTTTCTCTCCCTTCCTTTCCCCCTCCCCTTCCCCTCTCTCTAAAAATAAAGAAATAAGATCTTAAAAAAAACAAATTTAGGGTCCTGGTGCACACCACCTATGCTTTGGGAAAATGGTATGACGCAGAGACCACAGCCATGAGAGTGCCTGCCAAAGCCGGGACTACAGAGAATATACCTGGCTAGGATCAAACCTAAACATATAACTAGCTTTTGAATATGTTTCACAAGAAAATGTTTCTTCGCATTTCAAAAGAAAACAGAGCAAAAAGTAATCAAACAGGAATGAGAGTAAGGTTTCCAGGTTTAAAGTAAAAAAGAGTCTCTGATAAAAAGTCCAAGATGCCATCAAAAGGCAGGATTACTTCAATTCTGGAGCTGAATTATGTGGATTCTGTATAGGAACCTCTCTTCTTCACCTGGAAGACAAGTTTAGTGGTGTTGGGGAGTTACTGGGTGGAAAACAGAATGAACCAGATAAGAGAAAGCAGCCTGGAGGTGTGGCTCTTCGCTGCTCAGGTAAAGGAGGGCGGCGCTGCTCTGAGAAGGCTTTTCTGTCTCTTGAGGCTTTCGGAGTAAAAACTGCTGAGCTGTCAAACAGAACTCTGTCCTTTGCGGACCACTCAATGACAATACTAGGCAGGTTGTTCTAAGTAGGAGCGCTGGAATACAGAACAGTCAAGGCAGCAAAAACAAAGTCAGAGTCTTTATCTACCGGGTGGCTCAGCAGGACATCTGGCTTCAGGTATTTCAGCAAACTTTAGCCTTAACTTATATTTGAATGGAATTCAGACACAACTGTCTTCAAATTTCTTGGAACTTGGCACATATTGAAATAATTATTCTCACCAGTTTCCATTTTTATTTTCAGCATTTACAGGTAAGAGCCTAAATGAGTGTGTTTGTTTCAGAGACAGCAAGTTAAGAAAAGTTCACCGTTTTTTATTGATGCTTGAGGAAATTAGCTTCTAGTGAATAAGAGGCAGTTGTGAGCTAGAGCGCGTTCTTACCAGCCGGTAAGAAATGACTGTGCACAATTCTTCCAACTCTGAGTATATAGTACTGGGAATGTTTACACCTAGGGAACTGGGAAATGCTACACATCACTGCTTCACCCCAAGAGACAGAGAGCCAGCAATTAAAGGTTTAGTAGCACATGCTGATGATAGGTGATGACATCTAGAAAATATGAGATCTATCAATCATTAAAGACTGGTGTAAAATTAAGGCTACTAATGGAAAGACAGTTCAGGCCAATAATTAACATGAGGGATTTTTAATATAGGAGACTATTCTTCTTCAAAGATAGATAAATGATGATAGATAGATAGATAGACAGACAGACAGATAGACAGATTCCAGCAACAGAGTGGGTAATTACTGACTTTTCAGGGAAAAAAAAAGCTTGCTATTAGATTGCACTATATGTCCTCACTTAACAGCTTGCAGAACACAGGCAACAATATCATCTTAACTGTTACAAAGGTAGAACTTATTTTGTTGAGTTATTATTTTCCATATTTTACAGATGAGGACCCTAAGGCTCAGTGAGGTTAAGTGCTGAACGTCATCTAGCTTCTAGATGACAAAAGCAAGAGTAGCATTTTTTTAGTTGATTTTCATACTATTTGGTGCCAAAGAAAGATCTATATATGTGACTCAGATGTTTTTCTAGAAGGCAACTGTTATTATTTGATACTATTCTTGGCTCATTTTATTTTCTTAGGTGTGTGTGTGAGGAGATGAGCCACAGCCCCAAGCTCATCCCTCTACTATCGCGCACTCTCAGCTTCATTGAGGTTCCACACTGGCTGTCCACCAGATGTTCAATGTTAACTCCTTACTGAAGGTTGTGACAAAACCCCAGAGAATAAAATGATGGCAATCTGTCAGCCAGTCATTGTTATATGTATTTTTCATTTTCCATTATATTCCACCTTATGTCACTGTTTTTAGTGTGTGAATTGCTCATTGTTTATTTCTACTCATTTTCTTTCATCACTATTTTTAATTTTAATGATATTCTACTGCTAAGAATATTCTTCAGGGCAAAACTACACTTTTCTTCAGTAAAGAGAAAGACGAGGACATATCTATTACTCTAAGAAATCTGGAGGTGCGGGATATTTTACCATCAGCAGCCTAAAGTGTGATGGATGCCTTGATTTACATTTTAATCCCATCAGATTGTTGCTGAAAATTATGATAGAGTGGTTATTTACTCACTAGAACACTCACAATTTAATTGAAGAAAATTGAACTTGAATCATCCTGCAAGCAACCAGAATATTATTTAGGTACTCAGAAGTGTGAAATGTTAATTATGTAATTTTTTGTTCCTTCTGCTTGCTCCCTCTTTCTAAATCTAACTCAAAAATCAACAAACTTTATTAACCAAAATTAAATACCAGCTAATATGTTAAGTACAGGCCATACAAACACGAACATGTCAATAAAGGTCCTCCTCTGAAGGACTTTATGACTATGTTACAAGAAAATTATAAATAAAGCTATTTATAATAAAATGTGATAACAAATACGTTAGAGATAGGAACAGAATGACTATGGGATAAAAAAGGAGGGAGTGATTAATTTTCAGAAGGAACTTAGAAAGTATTCACAGTACATAAGATATTTTATCTGGACTTTGAATTATGAGAGCAATTTTTTTTTTATATATGTGAATTAAGAAGGGTGTCCTGTGTACTAAGTAAAATATGGCTGAAAGTCACAGAGGGAATGAATGTTGGT